ATTAATGCTGATCTTGTTGGCTTGTGAAGGAATGACCATTTTTAATGGAGAAGACCAAATAATTAAAGATACAGAAATAGATCACCAGTAATGGGATACGATTTCAGGGGATTTGACAAAAATTAGGAAAGGAAATTTGTAAAGTATAAGGATTTGTTTTTTGTGTCAAAGGTCATCTAGGTTTTTCACTATAGTATTAAATGCCCGTTCACTTTTAAGTTGTCACAAAAAAAAAATTCTTCTTTATACCTGTGTTAATTTCAATAAATGGAATATTTGTTTTATTATATCTTGAAATGAAAATGATTTTTTATGAAAGAGAATTGACAGTATTTAAGCACAGCCAAATTAGAGCTTACAAAAAGCTGCATATTAATTGTTGAGTGTCGTGAAATGAAATAATTTACATTTAATGAAAAAAGAGAGGAGATAAGAAAAAACTGAGATCAACCGTTACCGAAAGATTTATTGTAAAAACATAAGATGACCCTTAAAAAATTCTTTGTTCAATGTTGCCTCACCCATGTCTTGTAGGGTTTGATAGGTAAGTAGGGATTTTATATTTTTTTGGCCAACAACATAAGTTACATGTTTTAGACAAGAAAACGACGTTAGAGCAGGAAAAAATCTTTAAAAAAAAATTTGAACTGATTTGTCATAAATTTTTTTGGGTAGGCTGCTTTTTAGGTGGGTAGCGGTAGGCAACATCAAACAATCTAAATTTCATTTTGGGCCGTTTGGGGAATGATAGCTAAGAATAAGAGAAAATGGACATACTTAGTCTTAAAATTAACGATTTTGTTATGCCTTTTTTACAACTATCAAAATATAGAAAAATGCTTCACAAGTCATGAATATCATGACAACCTGTAAACAGCTAAATGTTAACTGATTTGGCTTGGTGCATTATGCATCAACTGTTGCTGGATTTTCTGCCTCAATTCTTTTCACTTCCTGTAGTGTACTCTACCGTCTTCAGTATTAACTGTATGATTAGAGCCTTTTATTTAGTGATATATTAGACAAAATTTGTTACAAGTAATTCTAAGTAACCATAATCCTAAGTTTTATACAATCCATAATTGTAAAAGTCATAACAGCAACAAATAATGTTGTTTACTATAAATTAGTTCATGTGTTGTATATATATACGATAGATTTTGGACAGAATACATTATTTAGTTCTGAAAAATAGAGAAAATTGATCTTTTAATAAATCCCATCAGCAAAATAGAATTTCAAACAAACAAATTGATACATGGTTTTCCTTTTCTGTTGGAAATGATTGAGCTGTATTGGAAAAGATATTGGAAAAAAACAATTTTTCTTTCCGAAAACGGTTTCTCAGTCCAAATATTTAATATTCATGCTTGTTAGAAATGATTTATTCTTGATTTAAAAAAAATTTCTGTCACTTTGCAAAAGGTTTAATATGTAGCAATACTAAAAGTTTGATAAATGTTTGCTGATCATCTTGATCACTTATAATCAATCCTGGTCATAAGGAATGTTTTTGGTCATTATTTATCGCAAGGGAATCAAATTCTACAGACTTGATGTTTCGATACACTTGATAGTTAAAGTTTATTCTGAATCAGTGATGTGTTTTAGAGCATACAGATTTTACATGCAAATTCTTCCATATTAATGAAAAAATATCACAATGTATCACCAGGGATTTACTGATTTATGTTGGAGATCTTCTGAATAGAAAAGGTTCATTTTGATTGAAGGAAATTCTGTCATGTTATAGAATTTACAAGATAATAGCATAAAATGGTTATTTAGCCTCCTGTCGTCTGCTTAGCTTATTCCTTGTCTGCTGAATGTTTTAATCCTGTTGATGTCATAAACAGAATCAATGACTTAGAATAGATGACAGGGATTTCAGCTTAATTCAAAGTAGTGGAATGACAAAAGAATAGCAAGACAAAAAAAAGGCGAAGGCCAGGAAAACAGATTTTTTGTTTCAAATATAACTTATCTGATTATCATTCTGAAGAGATTTTGGCTCATTGTATTGTTGTTGGCTTTACTAAAGCAGTCAACTGACCTGGATTTTGCAGGTCACACAGGGGAATTAAAAAAAAAAAAGAGCTCACCCGAATTTTGCTATAAGTGTCTTGGCGATCAAAGTTTAGGAAGAAGAATCTGCAAATTCTGGAAATTTGAAAATTTAGAAGAGCATAGATATTAAAGACATTTGGGGATTTCAGAACAGAAAAATACAAAAGAAATATATAATCAGACATTATGAATGGTTTATAGCCAGCGCATGTGTCATGTCCGAATTTTTACTTGACTGCACCTGGACTTGACGGTGATCTACAATTGCTTAAATCCACTTATTTGGACTCTGTTAGATAGTTGTTTCATTGCGGCAATCATTGAATATTAAAGTATGCAATTGAAGGCTGGTTTTGTCCTGTAATTGTCAGTATGTCTGTCGTCACTTTTGTGACATGCCAACTCATTTATATTTTGTTGGATCCTCTTCAAATTAGAAATGAGCTTTTTCACTAAAGTTTCTTTCATTAATTCATTCCATGAAAAAAAAAATGGCTCTGGGATATAAACTTCATCACTATTAATACTTTACACCAAAAGATTTAAAGTCCAAATTTATTCAAATATTTATTAGCAACAAAGTCCAAAAAGGGCATAGAAATAGCCAAAATAGTTAACGATAAAATCATTTATAAAGTATAGATTGTCAATTAGTAATTTGGGAAAAAGCTGAAATTGAGAAGTCGGCTGCTTCAACACTTATTTCTTTACATGTCATTTACCTCTGGCGTAAGTTAGAAATTGAATTAAAAAAATCAAAATAAATGTAACAGATTTCATCTATATAAGGGAAACTGGTAATGATCCGTTGTAACAATATATATTTGTGGTAATTCCAGCGCTATGACATCTCGCAGTAGAGTTACATTTCAATTTTAAACCCAGTCATTAGTTTGTCTAATGAAGCTGTGATTGTCAGACAGACCTTTACCGATTTTCCATTTAAATTGTCTCATCCTCTGAGAAATTATTGTGAAGTAGAAGATTGAACTTGGAGATGTACTTTCTAAATTAGCAAATGTGATACTTGCACTGTATGATGCAGTATTTGGAAACCACATACTGCAAATTCAGAAATTATTTCATGCATTTATTATTGCGATTTTTGAAGAATGGTCAAAAAAGGGAGATTGTTGCCATTTCAGGAAAAGCTCAGATACAGATTTATGCATCAGATATCAAAAAGCGATCGAGTTCTTATTATTGCAATATACACAACTTAAGTGGCATTATATATACACATTATTAAAAACCTGGACTTAATTTCCTTATTTTCATTGCTCTTTTAATTTCTTTTATGTATCAGTTGTCTCCCTTATCTGTAGATGTAACAGTTGTCTCCCTTATCTGTAGATGTATCAGTTGTCTCCCTTATCTGTAGATATCAGAATACATATGGTAGTTTTGAATTGAATTTGATGCAGGCTGAATATGAATATGAAAAGGATTTAAAATTGGGATTTTATTGAAAATAAAGGTTGAGCTGACTATGCGGAATGGGCTTTGCTCATTGTTGTAGGCTGTACGGTGACCTATACTTGTTAATTTCTGTGTCATTTGGTCTCTTGTGGAGAGTTGTATCATTGGTAATAATACCACATCTTCTTATTTTTATATGAACTTTGAATTTTTGTCAAGAAATGAGATTGATTTCTTGTATTTCTAACTTCACTGAGATCATCCATAGTTTTTGATGGATTTTGTGTTGCTCCTTCTTTTTATTTTTATGTTGTTTTGTGGATTGTTGTATGTCTTTTTTTCTATTTTTTGTCATGATTCTCAGGGGCGGATTCAGGCGGGGGCGTGGCGGGCATGCGCCCCCCCACCCTAAAATTTGCAAAGCATGGGTTGTCCCTGGCTTAATTAAAAATATTTCGATAATTTTACCACTTAAAAATTTAAGTTTGCACCCTCCCTAACCTAAAATCCTGGATCCGCCCCTGATTTTCTTGGTCTGTCTTCAACTTATGAGTTTAATTTCCCTTTGGTATATTCTTTTTCATTTTTTGAAAAAAAAAGACCTTGCTCACTTACTGGCTGGGTGGGGCCTCAGTGGCCGAGTGGTCTAAGTAGTTACTACTGTAATCACTAGCCAGTCAACACTGAGGTTTTGAGTTCGAACCCCGCTCGTGCGGGTGCACTCGACTTCAATCTTAATTGACTAGGATTGTCAGTTTTCCTATCGAAGGTCTGTGGTTTTCTCCAGTCACTACGGCTTCCTCACCAATAAAAACTGGCTGCCACGAAATAGCCCAAAAGCGGTGCTTAAAAGTGGCGTTAAAACACAAAAAAAAAAAAAAAAAAAAAAAATACTGGCTGGCATATGGGTATGAATCTATTTTGTATATGCATATGGCAATCTTTGAAAAAAAAATTAGCCCACAAGAAAGGAAAGGGCTTTTATGCCCCACCTAGGGGCATTATGTTTTTCAGTCTGTGCGTCCATTCGTCCGTCTGTCCCGCTTCAGGTTAAAGTTTTTGGTCGGTTCAGATTAAAGTTTTTGGTCAAGGTAGTTTTTGATGAAGTTGAAGTCAAATCAACTTGAAACATAGTACACATGTTCCCTATGATATGATCTTTCTAATTTTAATGCCAAATTAGAGTTTTTACCCCTAATTTCACGGTCCACTGAACATAGAAAAGGATAGTGGGAGTGGGTCATCCGTGTACTATGGACACATTCTTGTTTTAAGTACTAAATATGAGGTAAAACAAAATTTGTTTACAGAGAAATTAGTGAAGTAAAAGTTTTGTATCATTATTGTTTTATTATTATTATTGTTATTACAAAGTATTTATATTATTACAAAGTATTTATAGTTGGTTATTTAATGAAAAGAATGACTCTATACTCTCACACACAAAAAATAATCATATCAATATAATAAACTGTGCTCATAATATGCTGACCAGAATTTTTCTTATTTTTTAGTGGCCAATCCGCCTGACAGAGCAAAAGATGACAGTACAGTTGGATCAAAAAATGGCCAGTTATCACGTTAGTATCATTCTGTATTTAGGAACAATTCTTTGAAAACATTAACATAACAACTTACTAAAACTTTATGAACCCTATGATTTTATTACTTAGAGCTTGAGTAAATTCAGAAACATAGTCTTGATCAGAATGGTTTTATGATAATCAGTTTGTGGAGCCTTTGGATGCTGATAATTGAGAAAGTGTTAGTCAATTTGACTGTGTGAGATAAAGTCAGCTTCACATTTGAAACTTAATTTGTAATTTATCTTCACATTTGAAACTTAATTTGTAATTTATATTAACTAATTTCACTTTTTCATCTTGTGATCAACACTGACATAATTAGACCAAAAGCAAACCCTCATGTCCCCCCCCCCAAACCCCCCAACCCCCCCCCCCCCCCCCCCCCTTTATCTGCCTCTGTGAGAAATGACTGTAACAGATAATTTTCTACTTCTCTGCTTCTTCTTTATATAGATGCACATATTTCTGGAATAATCTTTATCAATTACACTCAAAACCAGAAGTTTGAAAATCATGTTTTAAGGATTATACAAATTTGTTATTTTTTTCCAGAAATTGCATGATTTACAAGGTCATAGGAAACTGGTCAAAGAGTTCTTACTAATTACACATAACACGTTACATAATCCTTAAGCACGATTTTCTAGAATTTCAGATATTTAAGAAAGTGCCGCTAATAAATGTTGATATTTTACAAAATGTGCTGATGAATAATAAATCTCTCTTTTCACGATAGATTAACCATAAAATTTCCCCAAAGCACACCATCTTGTGTTTATTTGTCAATAATGGACCGAGATATTGATAAAAATGTCAGTGAATTATGTAATTAAGAAAAATTTACTGCCAAGTTCATGTGAAGGTCATATTTTTAAAGGTCAATTTCTTGGTTTTTATGACAAAACATTTACGGCTGACATGTCAGTTATCGGAAAACAGCCAAAATCAATTAAGCTTAACTGCTAAAAAACTATTGTTCTATGGTATGTTTTTTGTGTAGATAGAGTGTTGATAAATGAATTGCTAGTCAAGACAAGTGAGTAATTTACAAACAACTGATGATAACATTCCAAGTTTTTCCAAAATGAGTTGAAAACTCTTATTCGATGTTCCTGCCATCTAAATTTTGGGAAAATAAGGAATGACCTTGTCCTTTATTCTGGTATACCCTCTGACCTTGAATCTAATGTGATATTGATAAGACAACTCTGAAATAAATACATGAATTTTATTTGAAAAGAATCCCTCAAAGGTTATCTAAGGGGCAACATATATATAACAGTCCTCAACAAAAGACAGGTATCTATTCAATATGTCAAACTCTGTATATCGCCCTCTGACTAAGTCCAACAAAAATATATATAGTCCATGTTCAATTAAATCATTTGAATTTAAATCTAAATACTACCAGATTTGAAATAAATAAATGAATTCAAAAGTGTGTTAATTTTTTTCAAGTTTGGTGGAAGTGTGAAACCCAGCACATTTAACATATGAAGCACTAAAAAATAATGGTTTTAATTCCTACACTAAATTTTTAATACCTCACAATATAACATAAATTGAAAGACCATCTGCAAATGAAATATAAATTTATAGTTCAGGCATTTTAGCAATAAAATTAGGATAGATAATTTTCATCTGCCTTAACTATTATTTTTGAAAACATAAAACATAGAATATTTCCTACTGAAGGAAATTACGTTTTGAGTTATGACTGCACCAAGCACCCCCTCGTTGGAATTTCTAAACACCAAGGGCACTTCTTGTATCAAATACTGTATTTGTAAGGAATGAAGTCTGTTCTTTATATTTACTATCAATATTATGGTAGAGGATCTGGATGGGGGATCCTTTGTTTCTTTATTGTTAAATTTTGTATACCATTTTTCTCTATTCTTTATCTTTTTTGCCCATTTATAATTCTTTATATATTATATTTCAACACCCCATCATTCTCTATTCTTCATATTTTGGCTCTTTATTCTGGACCTTTTGCTCATTATTCTCTATTCTGTAAACCCCATCCAGACCCTCATTCTAGGTAATAAGAAAATCTGAAATGACTTTTTGTTCGGTTTTTCAATGATTACAACAAATGCCTGCCTGTTTTTAATTTTCCAATTGCCCATGCAGGGACACATATAATAGTTAAGATCTGATGTAGTATATCTTCAGCAAAGAATACTAAAAAGATTTAGTAAAGAGGTGAATATCAAAGGGTTCAAATATCCTGATAACATATAACTACAAATTGTCCGTTTATAATAAAGGAAAATTAATTAACAACGCCACATTGATACCATATAAATATAACATCCAGATTGAGTTTTCTTGTTCAGCCTCAGTTTAGCTGTCTAGACTGTAATTAAATTATCTTACAAACATTTCATGATTAGAAAGATTCATAGAAGTTGTTTAACCAATGGTTTTAATATTTCTCTGGTAATAAGAGTATAGAAATATAGATTCCATCACTGCATCAAGTGTGTTGCTATATTTCTCCACTCGAGACAGTTAAATTTAAATACTTAATGCGCGAGTTTTGCTGAGCTTTTTAAATAATTTAGATTTAACTGTTGAGAGTGTAGAAATATCATAACACTGAGAACAAAGTTTTCTCACACTGATCAACAAATGTGAAATATCATGAAAATTAATTAAAGGTTATGCATGTAGTTTTCTTTGGTTGCACATCGGTACTTAGTATAGTTTTCTTTGATTGCAGGATAAATAATTTTTATGCCCCCGCTGTCATCGGAGGAGGCATTAAGAATTACCCTTGTCCTTCCTTACATACATACGTCCTGAAATTAGTTTCCGTTCTCTAACTTAAGTTTGCATCAGCCAAACGTCATTTAAAACTTATACACAAATATGCTTATTACCACAAAACACAGATCAAGTAAGAATTTCTGTGGCATAACTTTTACCGTTCTCGAGTTATGTCCCTTTATAATGTTATATGCGAGCGGGGGCATCATATGTGTCCCATGGACACATTCTCCATTTATTTTATTATACCTTTAATCTAAGTTATAAGGACCTGAATTGCAAGCACCACCATGTATATCTATCTGTACATCAACCCGTTTAATCCCCAATATTGTTCCTCACACTTTTCTCAGGAACTTAATGAACAGGATGACTTCATATCTGTTCAGCAGCTTGACAGTGGTGATTTGTAACCTGTGAGCACTTTTTGGATCTGTCAGATACCTACTGGTAATAAAAAAAATCCTGTTTGCCAATACTTTAAATTTTTTAATATTGCTTGAATACAAATTTTTGTCTCATCTTTCTCAGAAATCACTGATCAGAATGACTTCATATTTGGTCAGCAACTCCACAGATCTGTCAGACAAGTATTTCTTGATTTCCATTATACTTTGATTAGCAAGTGGGATGACAACATGTGCATCTTGTGTAGAAAATAAATTAACATGAATTGTTCTATTTATTTCCTGTTGGTCTAGAGTATCCAGAGACCATTGCTGTCAACAGATATAATGTGCCTTAATACAGTTCTTGAGAAGGGGCTTAAGGGTTAAATTTTTTTTTGTCATATATATTTGATGTGTTTTGTTAGTTTTATTTGAATTTCTCATGAAATTTTTTTTCTTCTTTTTCCAATCAGATTTGTGCTAGCTTTAATGGTTTCTTTAACAGATAATAAGGACCAAAGGAATGAAAATTTCACTTCAACATTGTACATAAGGTTTAAGTTTCAATCCAATTATTATGGAATTTTTCATTGGGCTTCTCTTGCTAAGAGCTTTTATTGTCTCAATGATTTTGCTTAGCTCTTATAGTCTTTTGGGCTGAGAGAGACCCAATTGATGTGTATCCTCCTTTCCAACTTATTTTACAGTTTGTTCTTATGTTGTGCTATTCCATGTCATAAGAAGGGTTAAAACCTCGCCAAACATTCAGTATGTGCTAATGTCACAAGTCAAGAGGCTGATATTAGGTGGTTGATCTGTCATTGGTTTTTGTCTTATGTTTTTTAATGCCCCACCTAGGGGCATTATGTTTTTCGTCCATCTGTCTGTTCTTTTGTCTGTCCCGCTGCAGGTTAAAATTTTTGGACAAGGTAGTTTTTGATGAAGTTGAAGTCCAATCAACTTGAAACTTAGTCCACATGTTCCTTATGATATGATCTTTTTAATTTTAATGCCAAATTTCACAGTCCACTGAACATAGAAAATGATAGTGCGAGTGGGGCTTCCTTGTACTATGGACACATTTTTGTTTTTCATTAATTGATTTTAGCATAAATCAGGCTGTTTGTTTTCTCTTTTTGGTGTTGTAATTGTTGATAATTAGGCCTTCATGGATTCCTTTTAAATTTGAACTGGTTTTTTATGGTTTCTTTTATTATCAAAGAGAATCGAAAGTTACCAAAGGGACATTCAAACTCATTAGTTGAAAATAAACTGATAACGCCATGACAGTAAAAGACCAAAAGACAAACAACAGTACACAAAACACCACATAGAAAACTAAAGACTGAGCAACACAAACCTCACCAAAAAGCGGGGTTGATCTCATGTGCTCCGGAAGGGTAAGCATATCTTGCACCACATGTGGCGCCATGTCAGTGATGAGTTATGTGAATGCCATGGCAGTAAAAGACCTAAAGACAAACAACAGTACACAAAACACAACATAGAAAACGAAAGACTGAGCAACACAAACCTCACCAAAAAGCGGGGTTGATCTCATGTGCTCCGGAAGGGTAGGCAATTCTTGTTCCCATGTGGCACCATGTCAGTGATGAGTTATGTGAATGCCATGGCAGTAAAAGACCTAAAGACAAACAACAGTACACAAAACACAACATAGAAAACGAAAGACTGAGCAACACAAACCTCACCAAAAAGCGGGGTTGATCTCATGTGCTCCGGAAGGGTAGGCAATTCTTGTTCCCATGTGGCACCATGTCAGTGATGAGTTTGTTATCATGTTTATTCATATTTTTATTAGTTACCTTAGTTTTTCTGTCTTTGATGATATTTGATAATTTTTCCCTTGCCTGTGATTGAGTTTTCATGGTTTATTCCAATTCATATGACTTTTCGCAGTTCCTTCCTATCTTCATTGAGTTTACAGGATTTAATCTTATCTTTGAAGTAGTTCTGGTTCGTATGTACTTGACAAGAAATCTTGACGCAAGTCCTTCAAATAACAAAGTTAAACTTCTCTTCTTGTCGAAGCATCAAATTACCTGTCAAGAGAAAACATAAACCTTTTGTTTATATGTCAGTCATCCCTTTTAGATTCACTTATAGATAATGTTTCTAGCGTAACCTGCCAAACCAATCGTCAATCCCTTTGTCAGTCGGCGGTTGAAAACCTGTCCAAATTGTCAGACCTGTCATTTAACCTCCAAAGCCCATGATAAATAAATCAATCGGAATTCTGCTGGGAAATTACTTTTGTGTTGCTACAAGGACAAATCAGCGATGATAGTGATAAAATAGTCACTTCCAGGGAAAACAAAAGTTTGAAATTAACTTTTTATTGACGAGGGTTGTCCATTGATGGTCAATGTAGAAAGATTTATTGAGAAAAAAAAACAGCGAGTGGAAAACTGTCTATCTAAGAACTAATTGATTTTGAAAAAAAATTGTTACGAAATGGTACACAGTACTATTTGAAAAGATAAATGAAGAATTGAATGGACAAATGAAGTAGATAATTATGATTTATGAAAAAATGCTCCTTGTATGAAATTAGAAGATTTGGTAATTATGATTGCCAATGAGATAACTATCCACCAGAGACAAAAGGACAAGCATGAATAGAACAAAAGGTTACCAGCTAACCACAACTGAAGGAATAAAACTCATAATGGAAAGTGAGCTTTTAAAAGCCCCAGATTGAAAAATTGTGAAACTATTCAAAAGGGAAAACTTACAGTTATTTTAAAAACAATAAACAAAAAGCAAATAAGACAGTCACAGCAACCAAGGACCATAATTTCTATAACAGACTCAAAATTTGGGACAGTCACATGAAGAAAGTGATGGGGTTAAACATGCTTGTGGGTGCTTTACCTTTCTCTTTACTTGGGACAATGATGTAACAGTTAAAAGGGCTTGACTCGTCAGATCAGCATGAAGCACTAAATGACATAATTCATATCTTAGTAATGGAAAAGTTAAATATTATGAGGAACAAAAAGTCTTATATTATGTTTATTTTGTTTTCAGGTGCTGGTTCACTTACAGTATTACGAAGAACAAGCTCAAAGTCCAAAGTGGGCTCCACTAGTAGTAGTCGAACCTCAATAAGTACAGAAAACGATTCCTATGCGAGTGTCGACCTAGGTGTTGACAAACTCCCTCCTACAGATACCCCCGATGCTTCCCATGTTTGCTCAATTAGGTGAGTATTTTTGAGGCAGTTGGACATCAGTCTTTTAAAACTCCATGTGGTGAACCAACCCCGTTATGTTTAATTTTGGTAGAGGTTCCTGATGTAGGTACCTTGGTATGCAGAGTTGTCAGCAATAATAATTAGATAAAGTACCAACTTGACAACAACCCTTCATGAGACTGCAATTTTATTAAAATACTGGTCAACACGTTTCGCCTGTCTGACATCATGAGGACAATTTACATACAGTTTTTCAAGTGTAATTTTTATAAATTGACATGTTTGAAAATAATTAAATGTTGTTGATTGATGTTAAGTTAGAATCCTGTAGAATAGTCCACATGTCCCAGCTATAAAGACAAGTCAGTGACTTCAGCCATGTGTAATGCAACAGGACATTTTGGTTATCATGAGGTTAGTTACAGTGATGATTCCCAAAGAGAGCAATCCACTAGACTGATTTTAACAGTGGTTGAAAGTAGTGCTAAAATAGTCCATAGGTGCTTGTAATTTGTATGAGACTAATTAATGAACCGTCTAATTGTCCATTGGTCATTCAATTCTCAAAGAAGGATTAGAAATGAGGTAGTGACAGTGCTTACAGAACATAGAAATCTTGTGTTTCAACTTGGGACTCATCAATTAAGTATGCAGGAAATTTAAAAGAAATGCTTGTTATAATGTGGTCATGTTTTGGCAGCAGTATTTGAAACTGAATTATTTTTCTTATTTGATAATGAATAGATAGAAAAAAGTAATTTTTAATGTAATAAAAGTACTAAAGGTTTTATACGATGAGCATCATTGCATACTGGGAAAATTCATTTTTGGTAATTTTTCAAATATTTCGCATATTTAACATTAAACTAAGTTTAAACTGGATGCCTATTTAGTGGTGTGCCTCCCAAAACATCCATTTACGGACTTTTAAGAAATACAGAAATGTGAATGAAAATACAAATTTGAGATGAATTTTTTATCTTCCAGGTTACGAAATTTAATACGAAGGCTTCAGAAAGAAGATATTTCAAAAGAAGATTTGCAAAGGAATTTAGAATATGCAGCATCTGTGTTAGAAACAGTGTATATAGATGAAACTAGGTAAGATGAGTTGTCTCCCATGAGGATGAAAAAGTACTTCCTGTTGCTCATAGTTGGAAATTTTGTACTGTGAATTTTTTTTTATTTGTGGAGTACCAATTTTATAGATTTCCATGGTATAGTTAATCTATGGATTTAAATCTTCTATGAAGGACAATTTGTTTGTATTCTTTGTAAGCCAACTTTTGTAAAACCACAAAATCTAGTTTTTCCTCAATCCAGGAAAATTAGTACCAAAGAAAATAGATTAATTCACAGAATATTTAGTTGTCATAATCTTCAAGTTGAGGAAAATTGTATGACAAATTTTAAAAATCAACTTCTTCTTTAAAGACAAAATATAAAGAAATTTTATTCAGGATAAAGATTATGAACAACGAGGAAGAGAAACAGCAGAAACTTTAGAAAGAAGTGGAAAAAAAAAGATCTTTGAAATACCATCTGCTTTTGAAAGTCTTTTTGCAATTTAATAGAATTTAAGATCTATTAGCTAATGAATGGTTCAAACATATAGTTAATCAGAAATTGCCTGTAAGCACTTTCATCAAAAACACATTATTCATTTTCAAATTACTACGTATTGCGTAATGTTATATGTCACCAAATGGTAAAATTTCATTGGTTAACACACAGAAGGAGGAAAAATAGAAAAGAATCCAAAATAACGGAAAAAATTAAAATCTGTATACCGCAGAGTTAGTCGGATTGGCCAGACTGGTTTTTCCCATGTTCGAATTTTCTAGTAGAAGATTTCAGGACACATAAATCACTCCTTAGAGAATGTTATTCCAAATTTATTATTGCGAAAACTACCTTAGTATACGTGTTTTAATGCAACTAGATAAATGTCTTCGGAGTTTTATATTATGTTTAGTTGTGTTAGATATTGAAATCAAGGTGGTTTTCTCAATAAAGAGTTGCGCTCACAGATTTTTTTTAACAATGATGGTTTTTTCACTTGTAGGGCAATGTAAATTCTTTTTCTGGATTTTCACAAATTCTCTCAATCAGATAATATTTTTATGACAAATTGTGCTATTAGATGGTTAATGTTATTTCTAAAATCCTTTAATTTATTACAGAAAACAAAATAAATGTGTTTGTTTGTTAGATCTGCAATTCTAATGAGAAGTGAAAATCAAGGATTTTTTTCTTTGGCCTAATTTCTTCAGAAGGGAAATAATTTGCCTTATATTCTGGATTATCACAAATTTGTGTAAAAGTTTTGAACACTGAGTTTGATTTGTGATTGTTAATTTACCATAAAAGATATATCTATTTTAGGTTTATAATGAAAGGTTCATCTACATATGTATTTTAGGTTTGCAATAAACAGTACATCTACTTAAAATAAACTGTACATCTATTTTAGGTTGACTCTTCCTTTAAAAGGGTAATCTTTGAAAATTTACTGCTTTAAACATTACTAATTTTGCTTTGACATGAGACCACTGATTAATTAAACTTATTGAACATTTGATTTTTCGAGGGAGGTTGTTTGCCAATCAGTTGAGCATTTAATTTTGTGTAAGGCAAAGTTTTTTCTTTAATTTTTTAATTCATAGCCTATGAAAAAATCAGAGGAGTTAGAAAATTTTAGGAGAATGTACTTTACACTGTTTCATCCTTTAAAGTCTATTGTCACTGAAGTTTAGCAGTATTTACATAGCAACCAAATTATGAGAAAATAAACAAACATTTTGATTATGTGAGAGGAATGTGGTTATTAATTTTACACAGTTTATCTCCCCTTGTTTGGAAAAGATGAAGACACTTAGATCAAATGAAATTTTAAAATTAATTATAAAAGTAAAAGGTTGATCAACAGAAAACATATTCAACTGTCTGCAGTTTGTAGCCTTATATATTAAAAATCTTTGGTATATTGATATGCATGGAGAATTTGACCAGTTATCTGCAGTCAGTATAAACTAAGGCAATGAACGAAAAATTAATCTTCTGGCGTATTTTCAAAAGATTGATTAAGAATAAGATGTAAAAGATTGAACTTTTCACAAAACATTTAATACATGAAACTAATGGGCCATCAGCCTTTTGAGTGAAATTAAATTTATAAATTCTGAAAGTATGCATGATGTTGCATCTTAATCTGTAATTTAAAAAGTGAACGTTAAGGGGATTTGCTGCAAATATTACTTAAAATTCTTTTTATTTTGTTTATTTACTCTCATGAAACATTCTTTATGGAAAGACATTTGAAGAAATGGCATCTTTGAATTAATTATCATGGCTAAAGTTTCTATTCATAATCACCTTTTTAGAGTTTATACAGCAATATTGGAAGCGATCTGTTTGCAGTACTTAAGAAATGCTAGCAATTATTTGCTGAGGCAGCAGCTTTTATGTAATGCAGTTTCAATTAAATTCTGATTGAGCATTTTCTATGAACTGGATATCTTTTGCTACAAAACCTGTTTTAAGAGGCCACATTGTCTATGCAAAATTGGGGATGTTTTTTAAATTCTTTAAGTGGCCTCAAAACACAAGTTTGAAGCTTATCCTTTTGGTAGCCTCATAGCACAAGTTAAGCTTTATAATGCATCATTAAGCTAGTTTCTGTCCATTTTACCAATTAGATCATGCAGTGCAACTTTCATATACAATGTTCAGTTAGTCTTGTCATTATTTACCAAGAAAGAATTTTAGAGTTATTATTCCTTTGAAAATTCCTCCTCTAGAGACAGTGAGGTTATCTCCCTTTTTGAAGGTGTACTTGGGACATGAAAGTTGTCTCCCTTTTTGAAGTTGTACTTGGGACACTAAAGTTGTCTCCCTTTTTGAAGTTGTACTTGGGACACTAAAGTTGTCTCCCTTTTTGAAGTTGTACTTGGGACAATGTCTTTGTCATCAGTATGTGTTTTGATTTCAGTACTAATAAAGATAGGAATGAAACACAAAAGTAAGTCTGACATTGAATGCCGTTTATGCATATTTTATCATTTATGCACATGTAGATTTAATACACGTCACTTTTCGTTTGCATCCAGTTTACAACGACCTCAGCAGTTTATATTATAGTTCAGTTACTAACATGCATTTTTGATTTTTGAATAGAATCATATATCTTTTCAGTTTTTTCATGTATTGGCAATCATTTTTGTTTTAGGAACAAGGATTTGTCATCTTAATCATATTTATCATATTTATCACATTGATTTATTTTTTGGTGGATTCACACTTTTCAGCTAGAATCCCAATACCTTTTAGCTAGCCTCCAAATTATTTTCTCAGCTACCTGCCAAACAAGACAGGTATTGATTTGATATAAGTATTTTTGAAAACCTTTTCTATGAAAGAGAATATTGCTGTATGATTTGTATCAATCAAACTTTCAAGATGGCCATCATCTTACTAAAAAGTCACAGAAGCCATAACATTGCCAATGTGATGACAGGAAAATGTGTAAGTTGGTCTAATATCATCATTTAGTAAGATGGCCATCATCTTACTAAAAAGTCACAGAAGCCATAACATTGCCAATGTGATGACAGGAAAATGTGTAAGTTGGTCTAATATCATCAGCATTTCATTGGAAATTAAATCATGATGACTGAATCAATGTGTTTGCAAAGGAAATATTTAAACTGCAACTTTCATACCATACTGAATTTCTCACCATCAGGAACAACATGTTTCTTCTTGAATATTTTACCCCATCTTTTTTTTACTTTTATGTGTTGCTGTTACGATAGGGTTATGTACATTCCTTGGAATAATTTGTAATTTTGACCATAGAGTACTCATGTAACAATATTTTCAGTTTCTTGTCTTTCATTGCAACAGTTGAAATTATAAGTTATCTCCCCTGGCTTGAATTTCCGATAGTTGTCTCTCTTTGAGCAAGGTATCATGTATATATATTTATTATGTAATAACTAACAATTGTGTTAGTCTGTCCATTTGTTTGTCCCATATCAGGTTAAATTTTTGGTTAAGGTACTGTAGTTTACCATGAATTTCATATTGTTGTCACGTCAAAGAGAGACTAAGTGTACATCATGATGTGAACTTTTTGAAATAGATGTCAAATTTGTTTTATTTTCTCAAATTTTATAGTATACTGAAAATGGAAATGTGCTAGTGTGCACAGGGCATGATGTCCTATATCATTTGGACACATGTTCCTGTACACAATTTTTTTTATTTTTAAAGAAAATAAGGCTTGTGACCCCCTATTTTTATTTGGTGTTTTGGAAGTATTTATGAAAAGCAATTCTCTCATTGAATTTTAACCAAGTCTATCTTTTAATGTTTCGTAAATAAGGAAAAATTAAGTTTCCCCTATCTTACTCATATAAAATAACTGTGATTTTGTTAATTTCAATGTATTTTAATGGAAAAAAATGTCTGTGAGACTGTGACCCCAGTTTTTATATTGAAATTTGAAAGTACATTGACCCAGAAGTCTTTTACAGAAGTTTAAGAAAAATCTATCGTGGAACATAGATATGCAGTTGTTTATATTTAAATAGTTTCCATTGAAATCAAATCTGATTATCCCCTCTCTTTCCAAGCATTTTACCCATTTTATACTGTTTATCTGCTGTGCTTGCAGCAAATATAAAAGTAAACTAATAAAATAAATTCCATTGCAACAGTTGAAATTATGTTATCTCCCCTGGCTTGAATTTCCTAGAGTTGTCTCTCTTTGAGCAAGGTATCATGCATGTATATGTATTTATTATTGTAAGAAATATTGTAAAACTAATGATGATTTCTATCTTGCAAACTTGAGGCCTGAAAATCTTGAAGAAAAAATTAAAATGTTTTTAAAAATTGGATCACAAGTTAATTGAAAATGCCCAACAATAAGGGAAGTAACTCTATTAGAATTTCACAAAAATGAAATAAGGAATTCCTTTGGATTATCCTATTTATGTTATGAGCATAAATTCTACTCAATGATTTTAAAAATAATCTGGTGATTGACAACAATAAAATATATGAATAACTTCGTATGGACTAGTTTGCGGAAAGGTTCAAAAATGATATTAGTATCTTTTACTCATAGTATGTAAATTAACTCCTCATAAAATTAACAATAAGATTAGAGTCATTTTTTTTTTTACATTCCTTAAGTAGTTAGCACAATCAAATTATAAATTTGGTTTTTTTTTAATTCTTAAATTAGTTTAAATTGGTATTTTTGATGACTTGAACAATGTTTCATACATAAAAATACTTTTCAAAAGAATCTAATGTCTATGGTTATGATAATATCATAATTTGCTTGAGCTTTATTATATGTATTTTCAAAAAGTTATAGATGCATGTAACTTACTGCAAGATCCTTGCATATCTAATATACATGTAGAATTTTTGTGTTTTATAGATTTTGAAAGCATGTAAATGTTTGAAACATTGTTCTTGTCATAAATTATCAATTGGTTTTTGGATTGTTTTCTCAAAGTATAATTTTCTGTATGTTTAAATGGATTTTTTTTTAATGTTAGAATTTTACCATATCTCAACTTATATCCATAGAACTTTACTAATAGTACATATATCGATACTATTAAGATTTACATATAAAGTTATTGAAATTTCAGGTATGCATTACACCATAAATCATACAAGTGTCAACAAGTTTTTTCTTGAGACTGATCACTTTGAATTTCATCTAGAGCTTTAGGACATTTAGAAACTCACTTCTGAAAGCCTGAAACGGATTTTAAAAAACAATTAAATATGGAGTATTTCCCTTCTTGGGAAGTATACTAGTTCGCTGCAGTGCAGAGCAACGGTGAGAAGTTAGATCGAAAACAAGGGTTACTTTAGTTTACAAACATTTCTAGCTTTATAATTACACTTGATAACGAGTACGTTGAAAGACAAAATACCATTATTAACTTTTATATTGATAAAAACCAAATATTATATTTAAATCAACAGGGATTTAAAACCACTAATTGTTGACTCGTCACTGAGCTTCATTGCCGCAAAGCAGTTCTACTTCCCGAAAAGGGAGATAACCCACTTCAAATTATAAATTTAGAGTTAAATTTGTGATTCCTGAAATGAGTTTCTGGAAAGGGCTATAATAAATGCAGTCAGTTTTGTACAGGTTAAACAGCTTGCTTCAGGTCACATTACCTAGATTTGCCTGAGTTCCGCCTGAGTTATTTTGACTTCAGCACTGAAGAAATTGTGATAGAATTGATCAGGTCAAAAAAACATATATGTGTTTATGGTAAGCAGACAGAGGTTAATTTTTGAGAGCCTAACCTTACTGTTTTTTCACTGATAAATTGGGCAAATTATATTTTCACCAGTATTGTTCTTGACAGTTATGTTCTTTTTGTTCAACTACTAGGCTCATGTCGAAAATCATCAACAAGTATTGTATAAAACTGAGAAAAGACATATCTGACTGACAAAAACAACTTTGAAAAACGGCCGCTAACAGATAAATATACGAATATGCTATACCTGATCCAATTCCAGATTCGGATAAGGCTATTTCTGGGTTTGCCTATCAAATAAAAAAAAAATAGACATGTCTGATTATTTTTTTGCCTTGCATGCCTAAAACCTTGTCAGCAGATGACTAGTATTCATTTTGTTTGAAACAGGATAACTTGAACTGAGAGAATTTGATTGTTAAATCATTTGATGCAAAAGGGATTTCAAATGCAGTATCTAGAAAAACTGCAAGAAAAATTTTGATCAGTGAATGCACTGTAAATTTTTTTTATAGCATACTGTATATGTGATGTACAATATTTAACTTTTGAGAAATTTTATATCATTTATTGTAGTAGAATTTTCTTTAGATACCAGTATCATTGCATTGCTATAAGAAAATGAAGTGAACTTGTCATTAGTTTTTTTCATATTTGTCTTTGATCTGGAGTTATTTCCCCTTTCACAAACATTCATTTCAGATGACCACTAATGTTATCTGCTACAAGATTATATTTGAGATATTTATTATTGAATAAAATTACCCCAACTGTCAGCAACTTGGAAAACCAAAGCCATTTTCAAAGCAGGAATTAGGTCATTCATAATTTGTCCTTCAAGATTTAAAGTTACCTGAATATCAGTGTTTCATATGAGTTGAAAAAAATATATGGCACTCGTAAGGATCACATGCATCTGGATTCTTGCAGAAAGACATGAAGTTGAGAACCTGTTATTGTCAGTTTTTGATCTGGGTTCAGAACTGGTCATTTCTGCTTATATACAATTGTTAACCCACTTAACACTTTCAAAATCTCAATTACATATTTTAAGGAAGCTGGAAACTTACAAATTTTATTCTTCAGGACATACTTTATCTGAGTGCTTTTGGTGTTTCTTATACAAAAAGATGGATTTCACCATTTCTGCTTATACATGTATTAGAAATCTCACACATTGTTTTAAAATGGATCTTACTGAAATTCATCTGACCTGTTGTAACAAATTGTGTTTAATTTCTTGTATGAGGGAGCTGTAAAATTCCAAGCACTTGATATGAAGGAAGAATGGCAGGTTCTGACCTTATAGTAGATTATCATACAACATCAACTCTTTCCCATAGTCCTTAGGTGACCTGTTGTAAGATGGAAATTCTTAAACCCAGTCCACTTTTCTTGGCAATTACACATATAATTTTATGTCCCGTCTCCATTTTTTCATACACAAGGTGAACTCGGCCAGCTGATAAATTGTTAACTTGTTTTTGTCATAAATATTTTTCAATGGCCATAAACATCAATCAATCAATCAATCAATCAATCAATCAATCAATCAACCATTGTGTTTATGCATCATGCATACTTCATTTTCAGAATTTCAAGGGTTATTTATTTCAAGAAAAGACAATTTAAGGTTGAATAATATATTAAAGTCATAAGAAATTTGTTTGAAATCATTTTCCAAAAAAACAGTTGAACTGTGAACTGTACAGTTCAA